TCTGATGACTGCCTCTTGGTCCAAGTATAGGTTTCTCATTAGCACAATCAAATGTTATGGGATAAAAAAGTAGACCTGGTAGCACAATGGTCACATGCAAGGAGACCTGGTAGCACAGTGGTCACATGCTTGGCTGCTAAATGAAAGTTTAGCTATTCAAACCCATCAGCCACACCATGAATGATGTGGCAATCTTCTCTAACAAGGACTCACAGACTTGGAAACTTTGGGCAGTGGGTCTACTCTGTACAATAAGGTTATAAGTTATGATTGACTTGTGGCGGTAAGTTTGGTTTTAGGTTTACTACATACCAAACAAGTTCAAAGACAAAATAAGGTATACACTTTTAATTACCCTAAAAATCTTTGCTTTCTAGTGGGAGGCACTAAACAAAACTACATTAGGAGATAAATGCATTATAATGTAGTATGATAAAAGATTAACATGCATTTTCAATAGTGTCAAAATGCTATTGCAGCTTATAGGAAAGTAAGGAAAGATTTCGCATAAAATGTGAACTGAGATGGAAGAATATAAAGAAGGTTGTCAAAGGGCAAAAGGAAATCCAGTCATAACAGCAAAAAGTAGGTGTAAGGGGAAAAGAGAGAAATTAGTTGATATGTGGGCACATGATAGTAAGATAAATCAGAGAAAGAGCTAAAACTAGAATGGAAAATTGGGTGGAAAAGGGAGGGCGCTGCAGATCAGGTTAATAATAATTTTATTTTCTAAAAAACTTGAAGAGGACCGACCAGTAATAATACCCATGTATAAACTTCGGGCTAGATTATGCATATCACTTCACCAAATCCTCAAATACTACTGCGAAGTATAATGTGCTATCAAATAGATGAAGAAAAGAAAATTCAATGACTACACGAACTTTCTCCAAGTCACAAATACAGTGACAGAGTCAAGACTGAGATATCTGATTCCAATGCTGAGCTCTTTATACTTTGTCAGACACAGACGGGGAGTCATTTTTTTTTAAACTCAAGCATTTGAAATTTAGGCGTATTTTGAGGTATTTATCTTTTATGTTGTGTTTAGTTCTAAGAAAGTTAAATCTTGAAAAAAGAACAGGGTTTAGAGTAGCTCTGGGTGTGGAGAACACACTATCTTTCCTACTTGGTGGCTTTGACACTTAAAACTCTCAATTATAAGTCAATTTTCTCATTTGTAGTATGAGGAGGATAAAAATCCCTACCTTATACAGTTGGTGTGAGGATTAAGTAAACAAATCTATGAGAAAATATTGTGAACAAGACCTGGCACCAATTAAGCACCCAATTAATGTTCCCTTAAGAAGAAAAATGAAGGAGAAGGAAGGGGCTAAGCTGGCAGAAAAACTAGTTAGGGAATTAAAGTAACCACAAAGGGCAGAAGTCTTAAAGATGGGAGTGGGGAAGAAAATAAAGCTAAGAGAAGAGCCATTCCTATGGGGAAAATCTATAGGATTTACACAAAGAGCTCAAACAAAATAAAATAAACAGCATGTGACACAAACAAAAAAAAATGGCACCAGGTTCAAATAGGTTAAAAAAGATTAAGATATATCTCTGTATTACAAAAGGGTGTCTTGGTGGCCTAATGGATAAGGAGTTGAGCTCCCAACTTCAAAGGCAGGTGGTTGAGATCTACCAGCTGCTCCTCCAGAGAAAGATAAAATGATCTCTTCTCATGTTATATATAACCTCGAAAAATCCACTGGAGGGATTTCAACCAGACGACACTTAACAACAATTATATTACATGCTGTGGCTGACTCTGAGAAGAATGAGAATCCCAGAACGTTTGATTGTGCTTATGTGAAACCTATACTTGGACCAAGAGGCAGTTGTCAGAACAGAGCAAGGAGACACTGCATGGTTCAAATTTGGGAAGGGGGTCCGGCAGGGATGTATTTTGTCTCCATACCTTTTCAATCTGTATTCAGAACAGATCATCCGGGACGCTGGACTGCACGAGGAGAAATGTGGCATCAGGATTTGTGGAAGATTCATCAACAACCTGTGTTGTGCAGATGACACAACCCTGCTTGCTGAACCTGAGGGGGACCTGAAGCACTTGCTGCAGAAGAACTGCAGCCTTCAATATGGATTGAAGCTCAACATCAAGAAAACAAAGATTCTCACCACTGGGCCAGTTGGCAGCATCAGTATGGATGGTGAAGAGATTGAGATAGTTAACAGTTTTAGTTTGCTTGGCCCAATGGTCAACACTCTTGGTACCAGCAGCCAGGAAATCGAAAGACAAATTGCACTAGGAAAGTCAGCTGTGAGGCACCTCTCCAAAGTACTAAGGTGTACCTGATACAGGCTCTAGTCTTCACAATTGTGTATAATGCATCAGAGAGCTGGACAGTGACTAGGGATGATAGAGAATTGATGCCTTCGATCTGTGGTGCTGAAGAGTGTTGAATATACCATGGACTGCTAGAACAAACGGGTTTGTCCTGGAGAGGGTGAAGCCAGGCTGCTCCTTAGAGACAAGGATTCTGAAGCTTCGTAGACATACTTTGGGCATGTTGCAATAAGAGACCAGTCCTTGGAAAGGGACATCATATTTGGGAGAGTGGAGGGACAGCACAGGAGAGGAAACCCTCGATGAGATGGACTGATTCAGTGACTGGGTAATGGTAGTAGGTGTCTCAGAGACAATGAGGTTGCCACAGGACAGAGCAGGGTTTAGGGCTCCTGTACACAGGTCTGCTATGAGTCCCAAGCGACTCGACGGCACATAACAACAACAACATATTACAAATCCCGACACAGATGGCTCAAATATATTAAAATAATGATTTAAAAAATGCCTAAGTAAATAAATATTTTACATACAAACTAATGAACTAGTATGTACACACATGTCTACAGCCCATTTAATTTAAAAAAGTTAGCAAAATTATACTTTTCCTTCTACCAAAATCTTCCATGCTACAGAAAAAAAAAATCTGCTTCATAATACTGAAAAGCTACAATGAAAACTCATGTCTGTACAGGGCTGATGATACTGCAAATTGGTGCCATCTCTTTCAGTACAATTTGAAGAGGTCGCCTAGAGAGAAGGAACTTCACAGTCAAGCTAAAGGCTAGTGGTTCCAATCCTCTAGATGGCTGCAAGGGAGAAAAATGAGCAGTCTACAGACTCTGAAAACCCACAGGAGGGTCAGTTATAAATTAGTTCCAACACAATGGCATGTAATAACATAGCAACAACAGTAAAGAACAAAACTTCTAAAACTATGAAGCCAAAAGAAGGAGAAAAATATCCACATCAAGAAATTCTCTTAAACATTAATCCTTTGTGGAAAACTTACTTAGAGATAAATAAATCAGAACACAGTAGAATATTAGAAAATTGTTAAAATGCTGTTGCATAAGGTAAAGCAAAATATAAAATTTTACTGATACTATTTATACTACACAAAATTTAAAATATTTATGAGCAAGGTCTGAAAAAGATATTGTGGGAGGGAAAAGTACTTTTTAATTAGAATATGAATGTGATAATTTTTCCAACAATTTCTCATTGCTTTGTTAGTGTAAAAGCAACAAATACTCTTTAAAATTAGAAATTTAAAACTTTGAATCCACACTTAGAAAATTCTGAAACTATGATTTCTTAGAATTATCTGGACAGCAGACACTGAGTTTTCACAACACATCAGAAAACACAAAATGACTGAAATTTTAAATACATCACACATTACCAACACTTTCCAAATCTAGAATTTTACACTCATAAGCATCAACATTAAATTTACTCTTAGGGAGCTCTGGTGGCCTAGTGGCAAGAAGCTTCACTGCAATCTCAGAGGCATGCAGTTCAAATCCACCAGATGCTCTGCTGGAGAAGAGGCAATCTCCTCCTGTACCAGTCAGATCCAATTTGCTGGTACACACACAAAAAAATAATAAATTTTTTTTAAAAATTTACTCCTACAACCATCCTTGTGGGAACTGGACTCTTAACCCAAACCCTGTGCCTCTCTGGCCATTCAAATCCTCCAGTGACAATGATGGGTAATCTCCTTCCATGCAATTTATGGCCTCAGAAACCTGCTGGAGGGTCAGCTATGAGTCAGTTCAAAGTCGACAGCAATGGGAGTAAGTTCTGAGAACTCTGGTTAATAAACATACTTTTAAACAATTTGCTAATAACTTGCCATATCAAAGACTTTATACCATAGGAAAATATCAATTATAGAAAAAAAAATGTCTTATGAACTACATCGTTGGCTCTGTTGACATAAGCCAACCTTCTCTGGCAGTTTGAATGCCCCAGGGGCTCCAAGCGAGAAAAAGGACAGTTTTTCCCCATACGACGTTCCAGTCCTGACAACCTGCTGGAGGGTCAGTTAAGAGGCAGAACTGATCCAGCGGCAATGAGAGATGAGCTACATGCTATTCTTTTTGTCAGTCACAGTGAAGACAATGAAACCCTCAGAGGTTAGCCTACAAAGATAGAAAGCCAGCCCTTTGGGTTAACAGTTCAATTCGCTATAAACTACTCCACCAAAACTCCCTCAACCTCTTCTCCAGAAACTCCAAATTCACTGCCGTCAGGTCAAAACTGACTCACAGCTGGCCCTACAGGAAGTTTTTTCCTGTAAGGTGTACAGGAGGAGATTGTCCATCTTCTTCTCATGGAACCACTGATGGCATCAAATCACCAGAAAGGTACCTTCTCTGAATTAATAAATAGTGTGGACGATGCCACCATAGCTCCCTCATCCCACTCAAGAAAGGGGGTGGGAATAATGTGTGGAATGGAATGCAAACACCTGTAAATGCATCTTAAATTTTAAAGTATACATTTCCAACATCAGAAACCATGCTTTCTGTTCTTCTTCATTTCACCCATCATATCAAACTTACTACCTTACCAAGAAGACCTCAATACATGATGAATAAAGAAGAAATTAAAAGGCAGTTTGTTGTTCTCTAAAGATGCAAAGTATTCAGGTTAGATTTTTCTCACCTTTGAAATCACATTCAGAAAGTACCATATAGACTACATCAGGATCGAGAGTAGAAAACATCTCTGAAATACTGGTGACGAGGTTGTCCGGGTCAACTGGGATCTCCGGCTGGCGAGGAAGGGTAGTGGCTGGCTCCACATTACTAGCAACACGGGATACAACAACCTTCTGAGAGCCTGCAGTCTTTTGAGATAAACTTCCTCTGTTTTTCCTTCTCCTGGGCATCCTGACAGGCAAAAGTGAAAGTGTACCTCAAATAAAATGGGGTCTTGTATCACGCACAATCCAGCAGTAAGAGGACCTAAAATAGAAAGCAAGTAGACTATAATTACATTTTCATTGCTAACATCAGATGGTATCTTTCTTTAACTCAGAAAGTACCATAAACTTTGGCAGCAAACCCAAAAACCAGTCAGATTCACTCTCAAAAATGTTCTGCTTTTTGTCAGTACTGAACATGTGAACTCCACAACAGTGGATTTTTATTTTAAATTGGCAGCAGATTTTCCCAATGAAACACATAATTATTTCCTGACTGCTGCTTTCATTAGTTTTGATTGTTGACCCAAAGAAAATTAAATCCTTGACAACTTCAATCTTTTCTTTAACATGATGTTATTTACTGGTGCAGTTGAAAGGATTTCAGTTTTAAGCTTTTACATGTTATTTGGTATGAAATAAATGGTAGGTTATATTAGGGGTCAAGGAACACGTTACAACATTCTAGCTTTAAAAAAGTTCACTGGAACCCTCATTGCATACTCCTACGATAAAAATAATGCCCTAAAATATAATACTTTTAGAGGGTTGCAGAGTGGATTATATTTGGGGGTAGGGGG